CCATCATTTCCTTCTCAGGGATCAAGGGGCTTGTAGTCCAGTCCATGATTCCACACGAGTAAACAAAGACTCATGTGTTGTTCGCCATCACATAGGAAGCCCACTGGAATTATCTATCCTTGATCAGTTGGCTCTATCCCTTCCAGCGAAACGGATGTTGAATAAACAAACAATGTTTGCATTTGCCTTCATTTGCTCAACGCCGTCTTGATGCAGGTGTCTTGCCAGATTCCTGTTCCCATTTGCAAGAATTGTGTGCTCTGCAGAATTCGGCAGCAACCAAAGAGAAGATTTGCATGGCTTACCAAAATTCTGCAATGTGCCATATTTGTGCACTTAACCTCCATAGACTAAAGTGGGACTACTTCCGCTGATGAAAGGAAATCCCTTCAATTAAACCAGTGAGTTGCAGCCAGATGAACCCAAGCACATGTTCGAGGATTTTCAAATACTTCCTGCAAATAAGTTCTTTGTGCTTGGACAATCATCTGAAGCATCAAACAGGCTTCTTGGGCAAAAATCTCACTCATCCCCCAGGGTGGAAAGCCGCACTTTCCACCCTTCCCCTCCTCTTCAAGGCAAGTGGTCCCTTCTTTTTATGCCTGTGGCGAGAGGGTGGATCAGTAGGTAGGGGAGGGGGATCTCTCACTTGTAGGGAACCTGCCCCACCATTACTTGAAAAACAGACCTCAGATTCTTCGTCTCCTGAATAGGGAGAACGCCGGCCAAATATTTGCACATTCCTATAGGTTGATGATGACCTATAAAGCCCTTAACGGCTTGGGTCCTGGTTACCTGCAGGAGCGCTTGCATCCATATACGCCCAGCCGCCCCTTGAGATCAGCGGGAGAGGCCCTTCTCCGGGAGCCCTCCGTGAAGGAAATTAGGAGGGTGAGTACCCAGAGGAGGGCCTTCTCTGTGGTGGAGCCCAATCTATGGAATGCGCTCCCCAGAGAGGTCCGCCTGGCGCCGTCGTTATTTGTTTTTCGGTGCCAGGCGAAGACCTTTTTAGTCAAACGTTATTTTAATTGTTAATATTATTTATTCATTTTATTCTTTGGCCAGGGAGACTTAATTTATATTGTTAATTTATATTGTTTTATTGGATTCTATTTATTCATGGTTGTGAGCCGCCTGAGGCTTCGGCAAATGGGCAGCATAGAAGTCCCTTAAATAAATAAATAAATAAATAAATAAATAAATAAATAAATATCAACACAAACTGAAATACAGTCTCACACACCTGCACCAGTCAAAGTCGCAAGGCACAGAAGAAAAGCCCTGGTGGATGTATTTTTTCATGCAGTAGCCAAATCAGGTACCCACAGCAAAATAGGAACGCAACGGCACCTTCCTGACCATGTTCCCCAGCAACCTCTGTACACTGGCATACTGTCTCTGGCACTGAAGGAAGCACCAGCCATCAAGACTGGAAGGCGTTGGCAGCCTTCTCCTGCATGAATTTGCCCAAACTGCTTTTCCAAGGGTGACCATCACAACAACTACTGGAAGTGAATTCCGTATTATAACTCAGCTTTGTGTTAAGAAGTTCTTGCTGTGATCTGTCTTCATAGGATGGCCCTTTTGAGTTCTAGCATGCCAAGAGAGAGAAGTTTCTCTGCATCATGCATAATTCTAGACACTTGTGTCGTATTTCCTCTTTTTGTGCTCCCCTTACCTGCCGGGGGAAGAGAGGGAGAGGGAGAGGGAGGAAAGTGCAAGAAACATGGATAATTGCACTGGGATGGAAACTCTTATTTTTAAATGTTAAGCACTGAGGCTTTTGGTTGCTCCCATATTTATGCTAAAGAGACAAGCAAATAAAGGCGTCTCAAGTTCTTCCTTTAGCCTGAGCATGGAGGGCTTTGTGCATTCAGTATCAAAACCAAACTGAAATGAAGTTCTTGCTGAACCAGCAGAGGACCTGAAGCGCAAGCAGAACCAAGACAAGGGCTTTCCTGTTGTGGGACTGGTCTCCTTTGATTTCTCTTGCCTGTGTCTGAGCAGAGTTAACTGCCTAGCTGGGAGCGCATGGCTTGATACCTTGCCCACCCTGGCTCATTAGCTGTGCAAAGCTCATCACTAGCACAGGGCTGTATGAACCAAGTCTTGGCTTCCTAAGTTTTCTCAAAAAGTCAAGGGCACCTGTTCTTGGAAGGTCAATTTCTTTCGTTGTGCAAGCACCCCTTGCTTTCTCAAAACCTGTTTACACAAACCAAAAACTATTAAAAGCAAAGCAGAAGGAAACACCTGCCCTTTGAGATCAGAAGAGAATGCCCATCTACCCAGCTGTGGCTGGCATCTCTCTGCAAGATTGCACCTTTATGTCTAAAACCCGCACTTTTCATGCTCAGAAGCACCTGAGCGTTTGACACCTGAAGGCTCCAAATGACCCCGACCCTATAAATATTTCATTGCAGATCCATTATTTAGAGAAAGCAGGAAGGTTCCAGAGCAAAACGCTAAAATAAAAATAGAAATACAGTCGGGGCTGGAATAAACATGACGCTCGGGCCTCGCAAAGGTTAAGTTGCCACGCTGAATTAGGTGCCTGCTTTTCCAGGGGAAGCAGCTGTTCCGAAAAAGGCTTGCATTAAGGTAAGGAGAAAAAACCCAGGTGCACAGACGCTGCCTTGCGAATCAACAGCACTTGACATACCTGTAATCACAGGCGAGTGTTTGTACTCAGCCGGCCGAAAAAACGAGAGTGCATGTTTTACTGGGGCCACCTGCTCCTATCTGTTCCTAAATGGAAATTAAAACAATATGGCTTAATTGCATCAAACGCTGCTCACACAAACACTGTCGCAGTTTGCCTGTCTTGTTGTTAACAATGCAAGGGAAGCCCTAAGTGGTTTGTACTTTGCTAATGTGGGTTAGACTCTCCACTCCTTCACTAATCAGGGCTGTCTCTGGCATATGAGGCTTCTAAAGATGTGATGCAGTGAATAGGACTGCAGGTATCGTGCTTAGAGTCCTTCCTGATCTTCAAGCTGCTTCCTATACGCAAAGGTGGAGCAACAAGCTTGCACAACGACCCTGTGAGGAAGGCAGATAAAGCACCTCATCTCATGCTTTTGGCTGAGGTTAAGACGGCCAAACTAAGCATCACCTGCAAACGAAGTATCCATAGCAGACACAAAATTGAGCTGGGCATATTTCCTCTTCCTCTTATTTATTACTTATTTAAAACTTTTCTAGACCGTCCTATTACCAAAGTCTCCAGACACTTTAACAATACAAAATGTAAAAAATTTAAAACACAGCATCCTAAAATTCAACTCATAATAAAAGCCCAATTAAAATAGTCAGGTCTTAAAACATTGGCAAATAAAAAGGGTTTGGCCTGGCGCCGAAAAGAATAAAGCGACGGTGTAAGAGCTCCGAGCCACGCTAGCTTTGTCCTGATTTATCTGCCTCTGTTGGTGTACATGTGACTTTACAGTGAGTGAAAGAGATTGGCCTCTGCCCCAAGGAGCTTACAATCAACCGTTCAGTAGGCAAAGGCAGAGTATGGGGAACAACGCAGCACAGACTTACCGTGCCAGTATGGGCAATCTGGGTTCGCCCTGCGTTCTGCTGCCGGTCCCTGGTTTCGGGGTACCTTTAAGCAAAGCACCCCCACTGGCCCTCCTTCCTGGGTTCTTGCTCATTCTCCTTGCACCCCTCAATACTTGCTTGTGAGGATCTCGTGAGAGCAGGGCCACAGTGACCTCCTGGGTAAGAAAGCTTGCAAAGAGGTGTCTTGTTCCTCTTTCAGTCCTTGACCCTCTTGCTTGAGGAAGAGACATTCCTGAGCTTTATCTGTCCCTGTGTCTGGCCGAGAAGGACAGCAAGCCAGAACTTCTCTTAGAAGCAAAAATGACAGATCCAGGGCTGTCCTACTTGGGACATCATGAGAAGGAAAAGCTCTCTGGTGACAGCATGAGAATGCACTCATGCTGGGGAACGCTGGGGAGGGCCAACTATGAGATGGAGCAACTCCATCGAGGAAGGCTCAGCCTTGAAGTTACAAGAGCCGAGCAGGACATATTGGAGCACATTCCAAAGTCGGAGAAGACGGCACATAAAAGCAAAATGTCTGACCGTCAGTCCTGACTTGTGCCTTGCAGCTCAGCCCTCCTTCTTTGTTTGCAGGTTGCTCCTTATCAGAGGCCTCTCTGAGTTCCCATCTCAGTTTGGGCCACTGCCCTTGACCCAGGTCTGACCGGTCCAGCTGCATCCGGGCCTTAGAATGACACCCCACTTTTTTCCTTCTCTTTGAACTCAAGATGGCTCATGGACATCCCCTCATCCTCTGAATCTTATCCTCACAACAAGAATCCTGTGAGGTATTCTTGGCTGAGAGTCTGCGCCTCAAATGGTGAGCTCCATGGCTGAGCCAGGACTCGATCCCAGATCTCCCGAGTCCCAGCTCTGCACTTTTACCCACTACGTTGCACTGCATCTGCATCCAACTGAGTATTTCCTAACTTGGATGCAACCCAATTCACAACGCCTACTCGGCATCCAAGTTACGTCTCAACACTTCTACTGCTTACATGTGTCTGCTCCGTGCTTGCTTCAGTGCAGACCAAGACCTGCTGGGGCTTTCAAAAGATGACGACATGTATCTAGTTCCCCCACCGTATCACATTTGCTGGCCACAGCATCTTTTCGATCAGTTGCCCAGTTATGACATGCCAGCAAGAATGGACACAGCCAGAACAGATGCGCTTGAACACCACCTTTCAATGGCAAATGGCAGCTAATTGTGTCACTTTTGAGTGAGAAGTGCAGAGTTCTCCAAAGGAAGCTGGTTGCCAACACTGGAGTCCTTTACATCTTGGAGAAGGAAAGATGGTTACACTCTTGTTTTAGGAACACTCTTAAAGACACTTTGAAATGTGGCATGAGAATTGCTGGTAGGACCCTGGGGTCCAATTGCCCGAGAGATTTTAACAAGCACATGCGTTCGTGTAGAACTATGCTGGATTCTCGACTTTTAATAATCAACTTACCTGGTGCTGGCTGGCCTTGGCCAACTGCTCATTGGCAGAGTCTACATTCGAAGACGCAGTCTCTATGTTGGCTTCGATGCTATCTGTAAATTAAGATAATGGGAAGTAATTACATGGTGCGGCGTGAAGAGCAAATCCTGTAACTTAATTTAATTTAATTTATAAATACTCAGCATAGCTTACAAACTACAGACCTGACAAGCAGTTGCAGATAGACAGTGCAAGGATGATAAAAGAGAGCAAAGCTATAGTAGGATGGAAACAGGGCTTTGAAAACCTCCAACTCAACTCAATCATCATCATCATCATCATCATCATCATCATCATCATCATACTGGGTAGGGATGAGGAATTTGCATTTGGTGCCCCCAATAAGGCAGAGAATAGACACGTGCTCATCATGGGAATTCTTAGCAGATGGAGCAGAAAATGACTGCATCCTGGAACAGAGAAGTTGGCAAATTATGCACCAACGACCACTGGCAGTGATGTGGTTGCTAGCACACCGAATTCCAGACTACCCCCTCCAGCTGGAGCACCTCCTTATCCTCTTTCCTCCTGGCATCAGTCCGGCCCCTTCCACCCTCCTCTTTGCACCCGGACGGGCAAACAGCGCATGAGTGGCTGGGACATGCAGCACGGAGTGCTGGAGCACTTCTGGAGTTTGGGGAATGCCACTCAGGAAGCAGATATTCCGGCCGCCTGTGAAGAGCAACCTTTAATTCAGTTCTTACTCCATTTCCTGCCTTCCTTTTTTCCTGTTTATATACAGCCGAAACATCGAGTGAAGCACCATTAAATGTTAACCAAAAAAATAACTGGCTCCGGCAACCTATTTGGATCAAAGAGGGTCTCACTCCAAGGCAACTTGTCAACAAATGTTGCCAGCGATATACACAACAGCAGTGTTGCGTGTACAAGTGGAGAGGGATCATGAAGAATAAAGTTGTTTTAAAGATTGGGAAACCCTGATTTGCACAGCTTCTTCCACCCCACCCTGCTGCCTCGGGCCAGTCAGCAGTGGGGCTCCTTGCACTGCATTGCGTGTGTAACTCCTCAGAAGAGAAATCACGCCCAAAGGGACACGGTGACAAGGGTCACAGAAATAACTGAAGCGTGCTGTCAGGCAGCTCGAGGCTTTCGCATCTGATATGCCTTCCGCAGCCCAAACAAATTTGAAAAGCTTAATTTGAGGCAAAAGGGGCTGCCAAGAAAGAACAGAACGGCGGTGCTTCTGATGTCATCTTGGGCTTGCTCGGTATCCATCACGGAGCACCACCTTCAGCCTTGAGTGGGCATGGTGGGCATCTTCCATGGAGGGGCTAGCATTGATGAAGGCTGAATGACCCTTGCAATTAGAAAGCTGGCTATTTCAGCAACCCAACAATGCAGCAATGCAGTGCTTCTGATCACTAATACACCTCCAGGGATCTTTCTTGGTGTCCACCAAGGTTCTCTTGCCACCAGCTCTGTTTGTTTGTTTCTGTTTTTAAATTAGCATGCTTTTCACCAGTGGCTGTGATGGGTGTGACCCAGATTCCTCCTCTGACTGAAAACTCTGGGTTTCAAGGAGTCATGTAATGTGTTGGGGATCCACTTCTGCCTTAGACTCATCTTCTGGGTAGGTGACTTGCCCTCCGCCCTGCCTCCCGTGACAGCCATTCTAGAGCAGTGTCCACAGCAGCTTCTCAAGTTGAAACGTGCCTATGGAAGGTTGTTTAACCCTGGTATATATGAAAAATAATCTTAATGTGCTAACAACCTTCTCCAACTTGGTGGCCTCCAGGTGCATTGGAACCACAACTCCCTTGAAGGCAGCAGCAGCATCCACCCAACAAACAGAACTGGAGAGCATTAGGTTAGAGAAGGATGATGCACAGGAATTGATTGCATGGAAACACTGAAAGGGTTGCTTTACACTGAGGAGGCAGGCCTGTTCCCAGAACACCCGAGCAGCGGTTCCCTTGCTATCTCCTAGCATCCCTGTATCCTTGCCATGCATGTGGTCAGTCTGCTCTCAGATGCACGGTATAAGAGCCTGGAGGTTCTTCTCAGTGTGTCTGAAACTGGGATCGACAAATCTGTCTGTTGCACTGTCTGTAGCTGGAAAGGGGGAAATGTGGTGTTGTCCCTGGGAAGGGGCATACTGCATCCCCCTTCCTCCATGTAATTAGACTGAAAAAGTTGCCATCTTCTCGCTCTCTTTGGGCAGTTTCCTTCACCGAGTCATCACAGAACCCTTTGCTGTGGGGTGATGGCGGCCTTCCCCATTCAAGTCCCAGGAGGCAATCACCATTGCACGTGGCATCTCTTGGTGACCCCATGTTATGGGGGTCCAAAGCCCACTAGGGTGCTCTGTTGTCTTCATTCTTCCTCAAGTTCTCATGTTCTCTCTCTCTCTCTCACTCTCTTGGGTAAATTCCCCTACTTCAGAGCTGCTAGTGCTCAAAATAGGTAGGAGTTGTGTCCAGAGATATGCTGGAGAGTTTTGTTTGAGGATCCTAGGATTTCCAAGCACCATCTTGGGCCAAATTTCTCTTTGCATCCCAAGTTGCTGCTTGCTCTGTGAATTTCCCTGAATTTGCAGAAATCCCTCCAAATTTGTGCCAATGTTCTCCAAAGGCCAAAATGCAGTGGATCTGATCTAACAAGAATGTCTGGCCTTCAAACAGAGCATGCTTGCATACGTTGCTAGAACAAAAAGCGACATTCTCATGTATCCCAAGGTGTGTCTTTTGCATGTTCTTCTGTTAAGAAAGCTAGATCTGAATTCCAGCCAAGCACTGGGTAGGCTGTCTGTTCAACACAGGAACTTGGGCAGGATTCTGGGCAGATCTGGGCTGGTTGGAGCTCACATAGGGAGAGCTGTTGTCTCAGCACCATGCAGAGGCTTGATGGAGGCTGGCTCACCAGGGACTACTGTTAACTCCACCCCTTCTGATGACCTGCATGATTCTGCAGCTCCTGCTTTTCCAGCATGAGTGTGGTGGTTGGGACCATAAAGGGAAGATATCCTCTGAATTGAAAGTGAAGCCCTCTGGCCTGGATGAAAGATGCCTCAGGATTGTCCTCCTTCTGATGTTCTTGTTATGGCTGATCTGCTGCTCCCAGGACTTGCCAGTCCTCCCATCTCAGAGACTTCCATTGTACCTAGAGCTCTTGGGGCTCTCCACTCCCTAATCCAATCTTCCTTTATATTCTGAAGCACATTTTATCATTGAGTATTTAAGGATAAACATTTGTCCAAATGCCTCAGCTGGCTTGGAGAATTGTCCCAGGTGATGTGCAGACACACATTGTTATGTTTTCCTCTCATGAATGTAGAAGCACAAGGGAGACTGCAGGAGATGTGCAACTTCTTACCTGTCATTTCACATTAAGCTCCCTTTGAATTTGCATGAGAATTCACAGAGGCTGCACCTCATGACTAGAAGGAAGAAATGTTTGGTAAAGAAGGATGGTCTATGTACAAATTGCAGGAAGTCAGAAAGACAGACGTAGCATTACTTAGCATCAGGCAGGCCCACCATGGTCAACAAATCATGGTCCACAGGCCAAACGCAACACAGAAACAAACTCCAGCTGAGACACAATACCACACTTCCTGTGTATTTCCATCCTGTCTTCTCCATTCCTGCATTTCTTCTTCCTTCATAATCCCCTTAATTATACTGGCCATTATCAAATGACATAGCATGGTATGGAAACACAGTCTGAAGTCTCTGGTTGCCTGCAGCAAGCCCGGGTTCTGACAAGTTCTACAGTCAGCCAGAGAGTCTTGTTCTAGCCCTCTCCCTCCACCACTTCCTGATTGCTCTCCAACACCAAGCTCCTTCTGAAAGTACAACAGTGTTCCAGATGAGGCATGAGCAGAAGCCTTGCCTTGCTGAACAACGAACACGTTTTATTTACTTATTAGCTTTATATTCCACTTTTTTCTTACAAGAAACTCAAATGGCTAATATTGTTGCTGCTTTCCTGCTGCTCTCAATCTCAGCCCTGCACCTTGTGAGGTAGGTTGGGCTGAGAGGCTGTGCCTGGCCCAAAGTCACCCCATGGAGACTGCTGCCTAAGTGGTGTCTCTCTTCTGCATCAGGTGGAACAGTCTTTGTGTGGGCTGGTGAGGCACGTTATGAAGAAGAAGGTGGCTGGTTGCACCATCTTGGTTCTATCAGAGGGAGGGATTCTATGGAGCTTCGACACATACTACCTGTAGGCTCTTCCTCGAATCTACAGCTGCTACAGGCAACTGAAGTCTTCTGGCTACATTGGCCAAATCAACACGATGCAGCCTTCCTCAACGTGGTGTACTCCAGATGCCTTGGGGTGCCACCCCCCCCAAGTTGTCTGGGGATGATGAGAGTTGTAGTCCAAGGCATCGGAAGGACATCAGGTTGAGGAAGTCTGGGGTAGTCAGAAGCATCCCTCTGCTTGTAGCGGCCACTGCTGCTTCCGCTCAGTTCTCTTGTGCTAAATGGGCTACTTCCCATTCCCTTGGTTACCAGCCTCCTGTTCCTACCCTCTTCCCTTGATCTCTCGCTGAGCCACGCGGTGCAAGAGTTCCATGCATCCATATTAGGTGTGCACAAGCCAATTGCCTTGATTCAAGATTGTCCACCGATCAGCAACTCCTCTGTTCTTGCAGGCTCGAAAACACAAGACAAAACCCCATGTGGCAGTCAACCCCGGCATACTTCCATCGGCATTTGGCTTCCGTTTTCCAAGGCTGTGCAGGCCCACTGCACCTCACCCAGGGATAGCAATTTGTTGCTGCCACTTTCCAATGGAGCATATTTTGTTTTCCATTGCATTCTAAAATATGTTTAAGCCACTTTTTAGAATGAATTTAAGGGCTCAAATTCAGGCTGTGCCTGGACTATCCCACCTCGGGTTCTGTGTGGAAGCTGATAAAACAGCCAAAGGTACGTTCACAGCACACCAAACTCCAGGAAAAAGGCTAAGCTACAATACATCTTAAGTGATTTGGTTCGGGCACACTTTGACGAGCTTGTCCGATCAGGAGAAGGAGGCACGGGCAGTATGACATGTAATGGATCCAACAAATATCAAATGCCAATCGTGATACCTACCTATCGAGTCTCCCTGCTCATATACCATGGAGGCCAGGTCCTTGATAATCTGGTTAACATCCAACATATCGCTCTGAAGGAAGAGAAAGGTAAAGAGTATAAGCATTTCTGAAAACACAGTCAGCATAAATCCATGGACTGGCTCAGCATTCCTTAAGATGCTCCCACCTGACAAGTTGGACTACAACCCCCATCATCCTCAGCTGGCCAGACTGTGGGTGATAGGAGCTGTAGTCTGACACATCCAAAGGCAGTGTGATGGGCAAGGTGATCCCTTTTTCAAGTGAGACGTGCGAACGTTTTGCATAACCTTTCCAGACTGTTCATATCATTTTTGGTTTCCTTTGAAATTGGGAACAGGCAAACGAGTGATGTTTGAGATCACTAAAGAGATCTCTGGGCCTCATCTCATGGGTGGTCTTGTGCCCAATTCCTCCTTCGCATTTGCGCAGGCTGCACTCTCTAGCCAAACAGGAGAATTGCACAAATCAAAAGATCTGCGCAGATTTCTCTCAGTTTGTGAAAATTTTCTAATCTGTGCATATTTCCTCCATAGACTAAAGAGGAGCTGATTTAGTCTACAGAATATTTGCATCTGTGAGGAAATCATGTGTAAAATCCAACTGGGAAGTTGGACAAATTGATCATGAGCACAGGTCTTGCCGTCTCCGAATATTTTAGCTGCACACATGCTTGCGATCGTGTTTGGGATTCTGAGCAGGCAATGCCTGCAACATTTTGTGAGCAAAGCCAAAAATTCCATGCATCCCATCTGAAACTCCTCAGTTTCTCTTTCTTTGTAGGAGCTACCAAGTTCATCTGGAACACCACTTGAGGAAGAATTTGGCACCAGCAGAAAGTGAAGAGAAACTAAAGAGCCTCTTGATGCAGGTAAAGGAGGAGAGTACAAAAGTTGGCTTGAAACTCAACATAAAGAAAACTAAGATCATGACATCTGGTCCTATCACTTCCTGGCAAATAGATGGGGAAGAAATGGAGGTAGTGACAGATTTTATTTTCCTGGGCTCCAAGACCACCAGAGATGGGGACTGTACCCCAGAAATTAAAAGATGTTTGCTCCTTGGGAGGAAAGCTATGGCAAATCTAGACAGCATACTAAAAAGCAGGGACATCACCCTGCCAAAAAAAGCGCGTATAGTCAAGGCTATGGTTTTTCCAGTTGCAATGTATGGCTGTGAAAGCTGGACCATAAGGAAGGCTGAGCACCAAAGAATTGAGGCCTTTGAATTGTGGTGCTGGAGAAGACTCCTGCGAGTCCCTTGGACCACAAGGCGATCAAACCGGTCAGTCCTAGAGGAGATCAACCCTGACTGCTCTTTAGAAGGCCAGATCCTGAAGATGAAACTCAAATACTTTGGCCACCTAATGAGAAGGAAGGGCTCCCTGGAGAAGACCCTGATGCTGGGAACAATAGATGGCAAAAGAAGAAGGGGACGGCAGAGGATGAGGTGGCTAGATGGAGTCACTGGGGCAGTTGGTGTGAGCTTAAGTGGACTCTGGGGGATGGTGGCGGACAGGAAGGCCTGGAGGAATGTTGTCCATGAGGTCGCGATGGGTTGGACATGACTTCGCAACTAACATCAACAACAGAGTCATGCAGAAACTTCTCAAGAACATTTACTTGTTTTATTTAAACCATGAAGACTTCCCTATTTGAAGGAGATCAAGAATTTCCAACCCCGCAAAAGCACATGAACTTTTTTTCTCTTTACCATCACTGAGAGGTTTTATTAGAGGAAATCTCTGCCATTTTTTATTTTGCATTTTACTTCAGGAGAAATGTAACAGCTCACTTGGAATTTCTTTGATGTGTTTTCTTCCATATTTATTTGGCCTCCACATTAACCTTAAAAACTATCATTTATGTGACATTCGGCAGCTTCAGCACATCACACATAAACACATCTAGAAATGGCTTTGGATTATTTCAGCATCAAAAGGAACGGAGTGTAATTGAGCCATTTCTGCTGGCGCTATTCCTAAAAGGGAGCCTTACCACTGTGCCGCAACATAACTGAAAAGGAAAGAGGAAAACAGGAGTCCCTTCAGCCAGAGTCATGCAGTATTATCCACTAATCACACTTCAGAATCAAGGTCCACAAATTATTATACAACATCATGTAACCAAGCCTTTTTTCTTCTCTCATATTTAGTTGATGAACCTAAGAGAACCTCAGCTTTGCATGCCACTGACAGTTCTGCAAAACAAAACAGTTAGAAAGGCTGATTTCTCCCCAGATCTGTTTTTCTCATAGCCTGCCCTTGCCTAATCAAGCGGCCGGTGGCTCTCAAAGATCTCGAGTGGGGAAAGAAAACATTCTCTGTGATCTCAGCCAATGCAGAGATGCAGAAGCATCTTCCTACCACTAGCCATATTGATTGATCGTTATGTTTATGCCGCACGTCTTCTTTACTTCTTGCATGGAAGCAAAGGCACCTTGCACAGTCCTTCCACCCTCCATTTCATCCGCCCAATGACACCCCTGTGAGGCAGGTTGGACTGAGCCCAAAGACACCCAGTGAGCCCCATGGCTGCATGTGGACTAGAACCCAGATGCCCAGTTGAACACGGTCACCACTACACCTTCCTGAACCTGCCTTGCAGGCGTCAGGCAGGGAGTCAGCACGTGTGGCCGCCCCTCCCTGCTGCCAAAGGGCAGAGAGGCACCACTGACATGATCAGGAGACTGGCTAACAAAAGGTGGCAAGGGCTGGGGCTGTCTGGCCTAGAAGAAAAGGGTGAGCCAGGGGAGATGAGCAGGGGGCGCAAAAACATGCAGAGTGTGGAGAACGTGGACGGGGAGACTCCCCCACCCCATAATACCAGAACACGGAGTCATTCCTGATGCTGATCAGTGGGAGATGCTCAGGACAGACCAAAGGAAGGAAGGCCCTCCTCAGAGCTGAGCTGTGGAATTCACCTCCACCAGATGCAGCGAAACCCTCCCCTTTGGGGCACTTCAGTGGGGGGTTGGATGAGAGTGGGGATGAAGCCGAGTGGAACCCGCCACTCCAGCTTTTGAGGACACTCTCTTAGGCTTGCCCCGTCTCATGAGCGAGCCGAGCCGAGAGGAAGCCCACAAGCATTTGCAGAAGGAAGACTACACACCTGGCAAGCTTCTTCTGCACTGGGGGCAGAAACACAAAGTTGTTTGTTTGATCGTTGACCGAGTGTGTTCCATTCCTGGTGAGCTCGGAACACTGGGCATGGCAACCCACGCTCAGCCTGGAGTCCAGGAAGCCAAGCCCTGGAAAACCAATAGATTCAAACTCTCAAAGAGTTTCCTCACGCATCCCTGGACTGGGCAAATCCATGGAGTAGAAGGCAGCCTAGGAAGCCCAAGTGGGTTCTGGGGACACCTGGGTTGGGGAAGAAATTAATTTACTGCTGAAATGCAAACTCCCCAGATTTCAGACTGATTTCAGAAGCCACTGTGCAATTTGAAACAGAGCTCTCCTTCAAGATTCACTCCTCTGGATTTGGTACTGGGACTCTCCAATCAAAGATTTTAGAAAACAAGAAAAATGGAAAAAGGAAAAGGAATGAAGGAAAGAAAGAAAGTGCACGTATTAAGGGAATAACATTGAAATGCAGAAAATTAGGAGACATATTAGTAAAAGCATGGATATGAGACAAAGATGCATGCGAAGAACACACGTATGCACAAAAATCCTCATGAATGTTCATGCAGACCTTTAGAGGAAAAGAAACTGAAAAAGGTCAAGAAGAACTGGACTTGGAAAAAGGTCAAGCTGAGAAAAACCAAAAGCGACAGACTGGTCCATCCTTGGGTGATGCTCCATGATCCTTATAAAAGCTTCCATCTCAGACTCGGCTCCTGCTCTGAAAAGCACAGAGACCTGCTCACACTGCTGGCTACAGGCTGTCCTTGAGCACTGGACTAGACCTGACAAGCTGTGCCAGGAACCAGCTAGTTGCTTTCTCATGCATGCACTAGGCCAGGGGGACTCTTCTATCACAAGTCATTCTTCAACACAATGCAGATTCGAAGGGAGTTTGTGATGCAAACATCTGAGGAGTTTGCATGAACTTGGTCACGGACTACATGGACAGACTCACTAACTGGGGTGCAATTCAGGCTTTGCTGCATTTGAAGAAGCGATGGAGGGAGAACACAGGCCGGTCCTACCCTGCGTGTTCCTTCTCCATCTGGTCCTTTTGGGTCCTCGACAATGCAGCACAAAGTAGGATGATTCTAAGTGTCTTCAGAAATGTGAATTTAGAATCCCTCTTATGATCATTTCTCTTAACCTCTCCTAAGGTTTAGGGTGGAAGCAACATTCATGGGGATGATAGGAGGTGAACCCAGCACTGCCCCCTCCCTGGGTTGAAATGGGTAGGCTCCGGATGGGGCTTTGCTCCAGATTATGGTGAAGTGCCCCAGAACACAGGTCCCTGACCTTGCAAAGAGAGCTCATGCACATGTACTGTTTTGATGCATGAAGGTTCCTGCAGGCATCATCCAGTAGGTGTTTAGAGCAGGCATGGATGATCTCTTTGGCCCGAAGGCCACGTGCAGTGATTCCAAGGGAGACCACAGCCAAGAAAGTCAAAGAAAACTGGACTTGGAAGAGCAGCAATGAAGGAACCAGGAAAGATCATCCAGGGTAAGGATGTTTCACTGGAGACCAAGGTCAAGGCCATCCAAACCACTGTGTTCCCAAGCACAATGGATGGGTGTGAGAGCAGGACTCTGAAGAAACCTGGCGGGAAGAAGATGGGTGCATTTGAAACATGGTGCTAGAGGAGAGTCATGCAAATATCTTGGACCTACAGAAAGGTGAGCAAGTGGGTCCTGGATCAACTCGAGTCAGAGCTTTCCTTGGAAGCAAACATGATGAAACTGAGGCTGTTATATTTTGGGCACATCATGAGCAGGCAAGCCTTGCTGGAGAAGACCATCATGCTAGGGAACGTCAAAGGCAGTAGAAGACAAGGAAGACCAAATAGGAGATGGAGGACTCCAAGAACGAAGCCACGGCCTTGAACCTGGAACAACTGAATGGTGGACAGGACATTCTGAAGGGCTT